AAAAGGCACTAAGATAGGTGCAATGTAACGATTACCTGACCCGCTAAGCAAGGAAGAGACAAAATTAGATGAGTCCTAAACATCTCAATCAATGGGAATGTTTATGTGCTTGCGACACGCTTGGAAGCTTGATCAACGGTTATGTGAGAACTGGGTCTCACATTACCTACCTGTAGTGTTTCTATCAATCGAAGCTTATGAATGATGCGCATTCTTGGCTCCAAGACTCAGATGTCTTGTATACTGCCAAATGGTCGAGCGGTTAGCTCCAATGCACCATTGGCAAATTTACGCTTAAAATGCACTAGGAGCGCGTTCCGACAGGTGTCAACACGGGGTTGAACGACTAGCTCAGACATGAAGTTGTACTATAAATTGAAAAACAAAGGCTACAATAACCTGTATGAAGGAGGACAATGAACAGTTCATAGTTATGAGGTATATAAATATCCAACTTGTTATGTGAAGTTCACTAATCGAAAATACAGACCCTCAATTATGTGCCTCGGCAGAGTGGAGGCCACTAACCACTAGCCTTGGCAGCCAGATAAATGCCCCTCCGTGAACCACCACCCATAATCATTTAGTTTAAACTCTACTACTTCTTTGATCATAAGGTGTCCCCAAATATCCCCATCTCACCAACTACCAAGAAAGCCAAGGTCCACTGTGATAGGGTAGTTCGTCAATCCCACTGCTTACGCTGACACTCACAAGCATCCAACAAGGCTGAGAGCTACCCCTCCAAACCCATCATCATATATTTACCCCAATCTCACCCTACCCCCCCTTCAAGTGCAACCGTCAATTCATTCTCAAACAAAATGGCATCCACCGTCTACCCCAACCTAGCCAAAAAAGCCACTCTCTCCGACGGCACCACCTACGGCTACGTCCACGTCCCCGCCACAGAAGGAAAACCCACCTTCCTATTCCTCCACGGCTACCCCTCTACCAGCTACGACTGGCGACACCAGATCGCATTCCTACAGAAGGGCGGATACGGTGTAATTGCGCCCGATTTGCTAGGCTATGGCGATACCGACAAGCCGACGGACCTCAAGGCGTATCGTTTGAAGGTCATGAGCCAGCATGTGATTGAGATCCTGGATCGCGAGAATGTCGCTCAAGCGGTGTTGGTCGCGCATGATTGGTATGATACCTGTACTTCATTATATAAGTATGTCAATTGCATGAATGGATACTAATACTAGGGTTTAAGGGGCGTCGGTCTCGCCTCCCGCGTGGCTTATTACTATCCCCAGCGGTTCTACGGGTTCGTGAGCATTGCGGTCGCGTATAATGCGCCTGGACCGAAGTTCGATCTTGGTATGTCTCCATAAATTTAGTTCTATGTATGTAGCTATGATTGGAAATAGTTGCTGACAGTGATAGACGGTCTCCTCAAACACACCGAATCCCTCTTCGGATACCCCGTCTTCGGGTACTGGCTCTGGCATAACACCGACGAAGCAGCTGATGAGATGGCAGCTCATGTATGTACAATTCATCCATCCACACATCCTTATCCCCATCACTCCTCTCCCCAAACTATATGCTAATGAATATACAGCCCGAATCCGCTTTCAACCTCATCTACCCGCAAGACCCAGCAATGTGGAAAACCGACCTCGCGCCCATCGGCAAAGCAGCCGAATGGGTCCGCTCTGGCAAAACCACCCCTCTCCCGTCCTGGCTCACCCAGGAAGACTACGATATTCATCATCGCGTTTTCTCGGAGGGTGGATACGCTGGTCCGCTGTCGTGGTATAAGGCTGCGATTCGCGGCATCAATACCGAAGATGAAGCGGACATTGAGGGTGGAGTGGGGAAATGCACTGTGAAGAATCTGTATATTGCTGCTAAGCAGGACTATGTTTGTCGGATGGAGGTGGGGTCGCATATGACGACTACGAATGTGGTGGATTCGAGGATCGAGGTGGTGGATGCGGGTCATTGGGTGCAGTTGGAGAAGCCGGATGTTGTGAATGAGTTGTTGGTTGGGTTTGCGGAGGAGGTTACGAAGTAATTTCACTTTACTTCTTATCGAGGGGGGGTAGTTTCAGTATATATATCTATAAATTATGTACATGCTTGCAAACTACGTTCATAATCAGGCATCACCCACTTAGACATCCATTCCGACTGCAATACCTCTTCAATGGTCAGTCTCTCTTTCGGTTTAAACCTCAACATCCCCCGCATCAGCTCCAAAATAGCAGCAGTCTCATCATCACCAAAATCCCCTACTCTACCCTGCCGTCGATACTCCCTCACTCCCTGCTCAAATGTGAGGTCCAAAACAGGCCACACCTCGCGGCCTTCCACTGGACGCCCATCCTCATTAAAGAAATAGCTCCTCTCCTCCCATGCACTATACCACGTCTGCGGCATAGGCCCAAGTACATCAATCTGCTGAGACGTGACTTCATCCTCCGGCGCCTCGGTACTAAAAATAGCCTTCATGCCCAGAATCTCCCACACAGCAGTAGCTAAACTCCAAATGTCCGCAGGGTACGATAGAGGCGCCTGGGGCTCAAACAGAGCCTCGGGTGGGCAGTAAGGCACAGGGGTGTGGCAATACTCTCCAGAGCGAGGGGATGAGACGGGGGAAAACGCCTCTCCGAAATCGCTCAAAAGAACCTGGGCGTCTTGCAATGTGGATTCCTCGGCTTTTTTTCCGAGGTAAAGAGGTAGCACTGCTTTTGGTGGAATGTGTGGTGGAAGTGAGCCTCCATTGCGCTGTGTGATTGACACCGTCTCAGGATTCCCGTATTGTTCGTAGAATTTCTCAGTAGAGAGACTGTCGAAGCTTGCTGGTAGCTTCACCAAGATGTTACGAAGATGGATATCTTGTTTTTATCAGCATCGACTTGAAGAACTGGATCATAGCGATCAACTCTGAGCTTACCTCCGTGGACATAGCCTTGCGAGTGCATGTAAGCGACAGCTAGTATAAGGCCCCCCGATAACGCACGCGCAACGTCAAGGGGGAAAAGACGGCTGAAAGATACTTCTCTGAGGTTGCATCGTGCGGGTGTCGTCGTATAGCATGGATGCGTCCCGTTGGGACCAGTCACCTCGAATTCATCTAACGGTACTGGGATGGAGTCGAGGCCCGCCCGAACAGACGATGGCACTGAAGCGGGCGCCGAAAGAGCCCGCCAAATCTTTGTTTCATGCGGGAGGGAATTCGCTATGCCTACTTTGACGGCGACGTAGCGTTTCCGGCGGGTGTCGCGGGCAAGCCATACGGTCGAGTATCCCCCGTACCCGAGCTTGTCGACGATGCGATATCGGTCATGTAGTAGATCCCCTATCATGACGGGATGGTAGCCTCCGGGTCTATATTTTTCGAGAGACTCGGCGCCGTCAATCCAGTTGTACTTGGGGTATGGCTCGCTTGATGAGTTGTCACTGCCTGACGTCGTCATAATTGAGTAGTGGGTGCGAATACTAGAGTTGAATTGATGCCTTGGATATTTATTGAGAAGTGGGTGACACCGTGAGGTTAAGGGCTGAGGTGCTTTGGATGGTGAGAGAAAGGATGGACAGGTTGACTTAATCCCCTGGGTGTTTAATCTGGTCACTGTGGAGAGATCTTTGTCTGGTTCTGACTGGTTCAAGTTGTATTGAGAGAGCTGGTATTGGGGTTTGGGGGTTGTTGTGTAGGATGCGGTGTGACGCGTGAAGGGAATGGGTATTGGGTGTTTGACGCGTAGGGGAGGCCATCGTGGGGGCTTTGGTATCAATTGATAGATGCGCAGCATTGAATAACGCGTCGTGATGGATTGGGAGGGGTGGTGTTGAAGTGGTTGTCGGCTGTTGTTATGTATGGAGCAGCGATGCGGCAGATCTACACGGGGTCGTCGATCCTTGTGTCACCTGTCACTCCGTCGACATAGAATGGTCTTTAGTAAGTAATAATAAACGTGATAGGCGACAAATCTTCTACTAGGATATGCAAGTCTCACGCATATTCTAATAACGTCCAATTGATCTTCCTCCATGCTCAAAAGCGCAAAACTAACCCCACATCATCCCCCTCTCTGTAGAGTTGATCATCATGAACATCTACCAACGAATCAACATTGAAATCACCTCTTCGTCTCCCTCACCTCCCCCAACACCACAATTCCCAACTTCTCCCGATCCGACCATCCATTCTCATCCTCATGAATTGCTCTCGCAATCTCTGGCTCTCCCACTTTCGCCTGAAACCGCTTAAACGCAGCCTCATCCTCGAATGTCAATTCCGCTATCACGTCGAATGAGAAATCACTCTGTTGTCCGAGTAGCACGGTGGTAGGATATGTTCCCTCTGAAGACGGAGCAGTAGGACGATCAATGTAGCTTCGTCGATGAGAGAGGGGAAAATCAGGACCCGTAAGACGCTTGACTAGTTCGATGTGCGCTTCTAGACGGGATTTGAATGTGGAGGGGGAGGTTTCTGGAAGGCGAGTTGCTTTGAGGAGGATCTTGAATGGCATTTTGATTTTCTTGCTGTGTTTCTTGGCTTGATTGTTTGATCTGTTCTGATTCTTGGTTTGGGGTGCGGAACTGGGTTGGTGACGGGGGGATTGATGGGTTGATGGGTCGGTGGGTGGGGATTTCCCCTTCTCCATGTAAGGGGCATGGACAATACGTAGTCCGTTGCTTGGCGGATTTGTTACATTTTACGCTGACTACATGGCAGGATAATAGTATATGTACAAGTATGAAATTTCCTGTCTAAAGGTACTGCAGTTAATGCACATGAAGAAAGTTTTTCTAAAGTATAGGTCACAGGTGGACAATAAGATAAGCAAGTGAGTGTAAGAAAGCGTAAGCAAGATTTGTGAATGAAGGTAAGAAGGTAACATAGCAAGAGAATGTGTGAAGCATCGTACAGAAACAAGAGAGTGTGTGGAGGCATCGTACAGAAAAAGGAGGACAACAAGTTAAAGATTGGCAGCAAGGCTCAGCTCATGCTCGAGTTTGATCAATTAATAGCAGCCCCGCTAATAAGCAGGAGTCGCTTTAGGCATGACCATCATGGTGGACGGGGTATAGGCAGGAACTCCTGGTGTGCGAGAAGGCGTCGCCGCACTAGAGGCGCAGGAGCTAGATGTCTGGCTGGATGACCACAGCGCATTATCGGCCACACCACCATACCAAATTTGCCACACAGGTTTGTTACAGGCGTTCTCGTTGTACTGGAACAGCCAGTTGTTTTCACCATCCGTGCCAGTGGGCGTGTAGTAGTATTCAGCCGGCTCAGAAGTCAGCCCAAGAGCTTGGTTGACTGTTGATGCGATGCGCGAGATTTGAGACGCGTACTTTGCGCCTTGTCCGTTGGCGGCAACAGGCGTGCCAATGTAAATCTCAGTGCCAGGGTCGGGGTACGCGGCGGAGCCGGTGAGCTGTGGCAGCTTGAGGTTCACGTCGTTCGTCAGGTAGCTGATGATGTTGGTCTGGAATGCCTGCTCGTTGAAGGCGACAGTGCCGTTCTGGCTCGACACAAATCCGGGGAATTCCCACAGGTGCGCCTCGTACACAGCGTACCTGGAGACAACGTAGAGAACAGTGCATCCGCGAACATTGGCCTGGGAAAGGCTGCTTGTACCGCTGCCAAAAACAACGGATGTAGATGTAGTTACGCCGCTGGTGCTCTTAGCAAGGGGCTGTGCGGTCTGCATCTGGGTGGACATCCAGGTGAGGAAGCTGGAGGCCCTCTGAGCGAGCCCTCTGCTGAATAGACCGGACCGTCTGAATGACGTGCTTGAGGTATCGGTCGTGTCGTTTGACAGACATTCGGTGCATTGCGGGCTGCACAGCTCCGAGACAGCTGCGCTTGAGCTGGCAGCTGGAGAAGCGGAGGATGAAGTGGCAGGCGAGGTAGTGGTAGCTGAGCCATCATCAGAGTCACCAGAATCATCGCCGGTATCATCTCCGGTATCGTCACCAGTGTCGTCGCCAGTGTCGTCGCCAGTATCATCACCAGACTCGTCACCGGAGTCGTCTCCGGTGTCATCGCCAGTGTCATCGCCAGTGTCATCGCCAGTGTCATCGCCAGTGTCATCGCCAGTGTCATCGCCAGTGTCATCGCCAGTGTCATCGCCAGTGTCATCGCCAGTGTCATCGCCGGAGTCATCTCCAGACTCATCTCCGGTATCGTCACCAGTGTCATCTCCGGTATCGTCGCCAGAGTCATCACCGGTATCATCGCCAGAACCGTCACCAGAGTCGTCACCAGTGTCATCTCCGGAGTCATCTCCGGAGTCATCACCGGTATCATCGCCAGAATCGTCGCCAGAATCGTCGCCAGAATCGTCGCCAGAATCGTCGCCAGAATCGTCGCCAGAGTCGTCACCAGTGTCGTCACCAGTGTCATCTCCGGTATCGTCACCAGAGTCGTCGCCAGAATCATCTCCGGTATCATCTCCGGAGTCATCGCCCGATACATCTCCTGAATCATCACCAGTTTCATCACCAGAATCATCACCGGTATCGTCTCCAGTATCATCACCCGAATCATCACCAGTGTCTTCGCCTGAATCGTCGCCGGTATCATCCCCAGCGTCATCGCCAGTATCCTCTCCGCCATCCCCATCATCACCCGAGCCATCATCAGTCGGCTGAGCAGCTTCAGAGCTAACCGGGGTAGCACTTGTGGAAGTTGCAACGCCCGAAGAAATGATCGGCTTAGATGATGACACAGTATGAGATGAAGTCTCCATGGCACTGCTACTGGTTATGTGCGCAGATCCCGAGGTTATGGTGTGGGATGCAGTGTGGGACGCAGAGTGCGATGCAGAGTGAGATTCAGGAGTGGAGGTCGGGTGCTCAGACCCTGTGCTTGTATGGTGGTGTGCAGCGCTGGAGGACAATTGATGAGATTCAGTGCTCGTCGTATGCGTGTGACTGCCGCTAGCAGACGACCCTGGGCTTGTGGTATGACTGTGAGTAGAAGTGCCGGCCGCAGACCCCTCCGAGACTGTCCGTGTTGATGTCCCTGGAGTTGGGGTTTGCACGAACTGGCCTCCCGATGCAGAGGTCTCATGAGCCGCACTACTCGAGGTGCTGTGGCTCTCGGGTGTCTTGGTGCTCGTAGTGTGAGTAGGTGTGGCCTTGGTCGATGTTGAGATACTGTGGCTATCGGGTGTCTTGGTACTGGTCGTATGCGTAGGAGTGGCCTTCGTCGAAGTCGAGGTACTTTGATTCTCAGGTGTCTTGGTGCTGGTCGTATGAGTAGGTGTAGCCTTTGTCGAAGTCGAGGTGCTATGTACCTCTGGTGTCTTGGTACTCGTGGAAGTAGAAGTATCCTTGGTCGAGGTTGAGGTACTGTGAGACTCGGGAGTCTTGGTGCTTGTTGTGTGAGTAGACGTATCCTTGGTCGAGGTCGAAGTAGAAGTCTTGGATTTTGTGCTCGTCGTGTGAGTGGCCGTGTCCTTGGTCGAGGTAGAAGTCTTTGTCTTGGACTTTGTGCTCGTCTTACTCGACTTCTTGCTTGTCTTGCTGGACTTCTTGCTTGTCTTCTTTTTCTTCTTTCTAGCCACCAGCCGAGGGTGCTCGTCTTCATCCACCTCATGCTCAATGGCGGCAGAATCCGACTCAGCCAGCCAAGCTCCTGCTGCCGGAGCAGGAGTGATACTAGGATGAGAGGCTACTATATCAGTAGTAGGTAGATCAGCTCCCCAGGAGCTGGAAACCAGGCTGCCGGCCCACAGGGCCAGCAACAGCGTCCTCCTCAGTGTCGCAGGCATTTTCTGTGTTCACGATGCTTGGGAGACGGAAGTGAGATTGGCGGGTGAAGGCAATCTTATATGATCGCCCTGGTAACATAGCCGCATAGGATTCAGCCGTATCATGTTGAAACAGCTTTTTCTAGGGTCTTCGGCCCCATGTGTTGAATCTCTAGCTCATTAGTGACCGATAGATCTAAGAACTGATTTGGAGAGACTATCGAACCCAATGAGTGGTGGCCAACAGTGGGTCAACGGTCCTTCATATGGGGCGAAATTTGTTGCTCATTTGGTCTTAATAGTGTTGGGTCGGACGAACTGGCTGCGATTGACATCACTCATTCCAACTCGCTAAATTTATGTGTTTGTCATGCTTTGTTGCCCGGTGCTCCATTTCTACAGGTATCCTGTCTTGCAGAGCCGTACAGACGTGGACCAGTGTTTCTTCAAGGTTGGGAACCCGTGGAACTAGCTATTGTAAGTCACAAAGCAACCAAGGCAGAATGGGATTGAACTAACGAACTAATTGTGTAGCGAATGCGGCTGTAGTATGGGTCATTTCATCCAGAGACTAACAAGACTCATGGGACACCTCCAGCTAACTCGGAGAGTCCATTGCCCCTGGCGATCATTATTGAGCTAAGAGAATTTGGCCCCATGGCCCCAAAGTGTGCTGGAAAGATCAGGTGTTTGCTTCCTGTTTGTTTACTGTTTGCCTGGGGATAACATTTCCAACCAGCCTCAAAATCGCCCCCACATCAGCGACAAACACTGCCACACTAACATCAACCAGACATCCTCTTTCCCCTTCTCTCCTCTTCTTCCATCTTCTTTCATCTAGCTTTTATCTACCAATAGATACTACGAACAACGGGAATATCAAGTGGATACCCGAAAATTCGGCGTTAGTGGCCTTCACTAAGGTTCCCTCTCTCCTGAGCTCGACAAGGGAAGAGCCTGGAAGTCTCGAAGGAATGATTACCCGACGTGCTCAGCCTGACAGTGCGACTACTTATGATACACAGAGCCGATTTAGCCGATGTTGGCTCTCGAGTTCCAGACCTGTCCTTCCATCCGAATCAATGACAGGACTAGTATGCTTGTGTCAGCCCCCGACGCTCATGCAACATGCTACATGCTACATGCTACCTCGTGCTAACCAATCGAAGAAGTATCCTTGTGTTAGATTAGATAATATCTCTCAATGGCCAACATAACCCCCCTAGAGACGACTTCCTGTCAATGTCGCTGTCTGCGCCAGTCATGACCCCAAAGCCAGACCACTACCATCGCTGGAACGCACACAAAACACATGAATCCAATTACAGTAAAAGCCCACCCATTGCCAATGGCATCAATCATAGGAAGGATTGCAGCAGCTGCGCCAGCTCCGAGCCAGCATCGTGTGAGATTCATGGCAGCTGTTGCCATCGCCGGACTCTCGGGATAGATATCAACCATCAACGCACTCAAGGTATTCATTACTGCTGCAGAAGTATACCCAATGAGAAGAAGTAGAACGAGTGGACCTGCAAGATTGGTCTCGTAGTGCAAAACCCAGCCATACGCTATCATGCTCAATGCTTCACCGATTGCCTGCGGCAAGACGACTTCGGCACGGGGGCGTTCGATGGCGAATTTGTCCAAGTCAGGTCGGTGATTGCTGGAAATATCGATGCCTTGGCTGTGTGCGTGCCGTCGATAGTTCCAGTCCGTTATTTTTCCTTGTGTATATGCAGCAATCAGATTGCCCACGCCAAGGGGAAGATAGCACAGACCGATCTGCACTTCGTTGAAGCCGTATATGCGGCTGAACTGCGAGGTGATGGTACCTGTGACAGCAAAATAGCCTGCGATAGCCACACCATTTCCCAGAAGGATCAGAAAAACATCTTTGTGGAAAATAATGGTAAGAGCCTTGAGCGGGTTGGGGAAACCAAGATGAATGCCCGCCGAGGAATGAGCCTCGGCCCGTTGACGTCGAGAACAGAGCTGAAGCCCCGACAAGTTCCATATTGGGGGAGATCGTGAGCCATTGCCGACAACCTTACGGGCAGTTTCGGGAAGAAAAAGCACTAGCACGATGAAGAAAGCACCTGCAAGGATTGCCAGCAACCAGAATATGAAGGGCCAGCCTAGGAACTGCGTCAAAAGCCCCCCGATTATAGGCCCTACCGACGGGCCAATGATGAAGCCGGCCGACACATATCCAATGTACTTGCCGCGCTCGGCGGTAGTGACGACGTCAGCAACAATAGCATTAGCGAGCGCAATAGTGCTGCTACCACCAGCACTCTGGAGACATCTCAGAATGAGCAGCGCGGCGTAGTTGCGCTGCAGGGCGAGCCCGATGTTGGCGGCGATGTACGCGATGAAGCAAAGGATATAAGCGGGCCGCCGCCCTGCATTGTCGGCGAGCCCGCCAAAAAAAGTGGGCGCGAGACCTTGGAAGATCTGTGTTATCGTGTTAAGCACTTCTTCTCATCTTTCAAATGCTGTGTATATTCACCTACCATATACGTTGACAAGGTAAGGTTGATCAAGGTATCGCTCACGTGGAACTGGTCGGCAATGGTGTCAGTTGCGGGCAAGTAGATGTTGGCTGACAAGGAAGAGAAAACACTGGCCACTGAAGCTATCAGGACAATCAATGCTCTTGTCCGACGAGAGAAGGTCGAGTAAACCTCGGTTTCACCGGGAGCTGGATCCGGATCTTCTTCTGGTGACACTGTATCCGACGGCACCCTTTCTGCTTTGGGATCTGGGCCGTCACAGTATTCCTCTTTCGACTTCATGGTGGCCATGATATGTGTGCTCTACGTTGCACCAAAATAATCCACCGGGCTAGAGCTCGACCGCCGCGAGATCAGGTGAAACAAAGACTAACCAGCAGCGCGATGAACCCTTTTTAATATCCATGCGTGTTGGAGGGCTCTGACTTATGCCTGCAGCTAATCATTCAAGGACAAGGCTGATCAGTATCTGCATGGTCGATCACATCACCAGGTCCCGGACATTGTCTGGTCCAATAGCGCACGCCTGTTCCCAAGCTACCACGGGAAATCGTGCATAGTTAATGATGCTCGTCCTCGGACGTAGGAAGCATCAGTCCAGCGGAGAGATGACAGAATGTCCCATAAGGGCTACTTGACATTTCTGTCAATGTGAGTATCATATCAAGAGATCTCGGCTTTTCAGCTATGCTTTTGGCCGCTGAATCTCCTGCCTCATTTCTTATCAGGTGCTATGCAAGGTGTGTATCCCTGCGATACCTGCAGCCTGCCGTTCATTTACCCCCATCAGCCCCTTCCCACACAGGGGTTCCTCTCAGGAGTTCCTCGTTCTCCCAGATATTCATATCTAACATGATCCAAATGATCCATAATTTCATTACTACACACCACTGACACTGTCAACACCTCTTCGGGACCATTTCATCGATGCCTGAGGATCATCTCCAGTTTTGGCTTTGATGATTCGAGCAACGTCATCCTTCTCTACCAAGTGGACGGACTACATCGGAAGCTTATCCAAGTCAGCTGAATTTCTTGTAGCGTTGCTGTGTTGGGCTGAGATGCGTGTCCTCCGCTGGGCTGTTCTTGTTGGCCGGTACGGCGAGCCCCCCGTGAGCGTGCGGGACGGGAAACTCATGTCCGGAGATTTTACGGTCAACCCGTTGCTTATATTTATTGGCACTAGAACCTGGGACTATTGATTGGCGTCCACACGGTGAGCTGCTCTACTGTTACTTTGGGTCGATTTAACTGCATCTGGACAATTGGGAAATGTTCACAAATGGATATGTCCGATAGTAATGTCTAACCGGAGAAATGTCGCGGAGTCATATAATCTATATATATAATGAGAAAGGTGCGGAATGGGCAGCTGACATATTTGTCATTGTATATCCATGTAGTGCGTTGCATCCACTGGAAATTCGAAGTTCAATTACTAGGCTTTATGTGCTGAACGCTTATTATGTAGAACAAATGATATATTGCCAGCTACTGGGAAAACAAATTGACGTTTTACGAGAACAAGTGAAAAGTCGGGAGAAAAACTCGTCAAAAGAGAGACATGTACTGCTTCAATAATATTAGAATAAAGCTTCCACCGAATCTATTGTATTACCATTCCAACCAGAGCTCAAGTCATTAGAAGTAGCAGCAGTTCATAAGCATGTGTGGCGGATGCTGGCTACTGTGAGTATATATCGGCTAGTAATGGTTCACACTTCCATGAGTTTCAATCTTAACAGAAATAATATGGAAAGGAAAAACAAATTCCAACTGTAGTACTATAATCCATCGATATACCTTACAAAATCTCGAAGTAGTTAATCGAAGATGCAATTCCATCACCTCGTTCCCTCACACTAATAATGCATACTACCATCTCACAGTCACCCCACAACCCCAGCTTCATAAAACTCCCGCTCAACCACCCCTTCTATATACTCATGGAACATGTAGCAAAAGTCTCCCGCATTTAATATATCAAGCCCGGGTGGTCTAGTGGTATGATTCTCGCTTAGGGATACAAACCCAAGCATATTTGCGAGAGGTCCCGCGTTCGATCCGCGGCTCGGGCCTTGAATCTTCTTTTTGATTTTTATTTTTTTCCTTCTATTTTTCTTTTACTTACTTCCCTTTCCCACCTGCATGTATTATTCGATAGTTTAAATAAATGGTTTGCTTGTTCTCTATTTGACTCTATCACTATGATCTGTTATTGCTGGCTGGCTGGCTGGCTGACTGGCTGTTTGTTTGTCAATCGATTCCATGCTAGTCGCGCCCGTGAACAGATAAAGCAACGATCCGGTGAGCGATCTCTAGCAGTTTGAATGGTCTGTTTTATCTACGTCATGTCTACCAGCACGCCTTATCAAACGCGAGGAGGAACTCTAAAATCCCCCCGATCTACAGTAGATGGTGGTGGCATTACTCGACGTTCACGCCCGCTCTACCGCAGCAGGCCACTGCGCACCAGTCGCTGCCGCCTGTCCCGTCATTTCCAGCGCATCAGCATCAGTTCCATCAGCAGCGCGATCTTCCTCGTTCCAACCCTCGCGATCATCCTTCACCATGCGCACAAAGCAGATATCCAGGAGTAATGCCACTGCGCTAATGCCTACCCCAAAATACAAAGCAGCCCGGTATCCCATTATCCGACCGGAGTGTTTCGCGATCTGGTCCTCGATGGTAGCCGCAAAGCCGAGGCCGAGACTAACGCCGTAGAGGTTCAATGCGCCGATCAGCGAGCCTGCAATGCCTTGCTGGTGCCGACGGACGGAGTTGCTGGCGATGATTTGCGCGGCGGTGTAGACGAAGTCTGGACAGAAGGAGAAGAGTACGATGGAGGGGAAGACCTGCGCCCAGTAGGTTTGGTGGACTGGGACGGTGGCCATTAATACGTTGGAGATCAGGATGGTTATGGTGCCGATGGCTAGGATCCATTGCGCTGCGAATCGAGGGACGAGCCATGCGGCAAGGGAGGCTGCGCCCGTGGCACAGATTACGAAGGGGGTCCAGCCGACGGCGAAGTGCAGGGGGGACCAGTGCCAGACGTCTTGGAGCCAGAGGACTTGGTACCAGATTAAGGTGCCGACGGCCATGTAGTTGAGGAGGACGACGAGGAGTAGTGTGAGGATTGACGGGGCTTTGAAGATCTCAAGAGGCATGATAGGGTATTCTGTGCCGCTTTTCTCCCAGAGGAGGAAGGCCCCGAAAAGGATGACGGAGGTGATTAGGAGGGCAATTTCGTAGGGAGTGGACCATCCTACGCTGGGTGCTTGACTGCAGTAGAGTATTAGTATGTATGTGTCTCCTCTCGAGCGGATATATGCTTACTTCCAGACAAAGTTGAACAGGATCAGGGAACTTGTTCCCAGTGCAGATCCTATCCAATCGATCTTTCCGTGTCTGTCGAGGAGAGCCTCTCGTGAACTCAATGCCCACAAGGGGATAAATGTGGCAATGCCAATGCCAGCTCTATGATTCGACCTCGTTAGTTATATCCCACCTAACAGGGTGCTACCACCTACATGAAGACAAAGAACCATTTCCATTCTGTACCCTCTATGAATGCGCCCAGGAACAACGCCCCGAAATAGCCCCCAGTTGGTGCCGATGCTGCAAAGAAGCCCAAACTAAGATTGCGCATGCGTCCTGGAGGATTGGTGCTTGCAATCATAGCTACTGCATTAGGCATGATGAAGGCACCACCTAGACCTGCGAGCGCCCGCATGGCAACGAATGCATAGAAGTTATTGCAGAAAGCGCTGATCAAGGTGCAAAGACTAAGCCATGCTCCGCCCGCCAGCAGAAGCTCTCGATGACCGTAGACGTCGCCCAACCGTCCACTCATGAGAACGAAAGTCCCTTGGGTCATTCTATACAGAGTTAGTGTGATTAAGATGATCCTCCTGTTGCTCCAGCTGCTACTAACGCATAACTTGCGCCAACCCATGTGGCAGAGCTTTCCTGACCACCCAGTGACTCCCCTAGCAGAGTTCCACCCGCGATTCCAGCAAAACTCACAGTCATCTGGCAGGCCTTAGCGTTGGAAGATCTATGAATGGATGGATACGATACCTGCACAAGGTTGGCCAGGAGCAACAGCACGGTGATGGCCAACCGACGGGATTGAGTGATTTGAACTGAAGGCGCCCGCTCAAAAACTGCCTGGCCCGCCGTGGGCGCCACGCTCTGCTGGAGAGGGCCATTGAGCGGGTCTTGAGTGTCGTCTGCAGGAGTTTGGGGTATGGAAGGGAGAGGTGACGGGACTGCTGGATGCGACAACGACGGCGCAGGAGTTGTAACCTCGTAGTGAAGGGCTTGCACTAAAGACATGATGGTAGAACGATTGTCAGTGAGACCGATTTGGTGGGCGTTACCAGCCTGGAGGATGAGGTTAAAATAACCCCATTCGCATTATTAATTGCCTGGCCCATTTGGTGTCAGGACCAGGATTGCATCCGGGTTTAGGCTGAGTGCGGAAAATGCCGAAGCAGCACAGAGAGGGGCTTGGATGAGCTATCAACTTCATCATTGAGTCACTCACCAGCATAGGGAAGATTAACCAGATAGGGTTATGATAGCCGCCGGAGACCTGGTTCTCGAGCCTTTATTATCTTGGCTCAACTACTCTTTGCAATGCCGGACACGTTGCAGCCGGGGATTGAGCATCGAATGCGACTCCCGATGCATGACCAGAAGAGTTTTCCGGAGTGCAGGGGTATGGCCTGCAAGATAGCTCGTGTGCACCAGCACATGCATCAAAGGGAACGGTTCTAGACCCGGAAAGTCACAGTGGAAGTTAAATCCCGGATTTAGCGCCATTTCCCAGTAACGATAAAGAGGTCAAAAGGCTTTCAATCGACTGCATACATCGTACTTCCTCTTCGCGGCATGGCCTCTCCGGAGACATGCATGACTCGGTCACTGACATCATGTATTCAGGATGCATGCGTCGAGAATGGGTAAAAGTAAATCGCATGATAAGTGCCGGATTGACAGATAAGTGTTGTTGAATACCTGCTGAAGTGAACCGTAAAGCCAATAGTAAGGTGAGGAAAGACTCCGCCGCTCCTCTGCAAGCGCAAATAGTCTTGATCAGTTGTCATCTTCTGTTATGCACTGCAGCTCGAGTTTCACTCAATGCGTTTGGATGCAGCATGTCCCATGATTCTTAAGTTAGTCCATTTTGAGCGATATACATATGGTTTAAATGTTCTGACATGTTACAACTGACGTCTAACAACAAGGGACTGCGGGATATTGACATGAATATTCTGTATGTGCCTGCATTTATCGTCTGGTCGTATGCTCAGGACGAGCTATGCTGAATAAGGAAGGTCAATGTGTGGCTTTATGATCATTCTTGCGCGATTCGTACGATGCAGTAAATGGCGACATATTCCTATCATTGTTCATCATTTTTCGAATACTGTATTACCCATCTAATCCTAACAGGCACCAGACAGCATATTCTCTCGGAACAATGCTAGCACTTCGGGACAACCAAGCCATGAAGCATACCAGTTCGGCGTACGTCCTTGGTTATCGCTGACTTTAATGTCCGCCCCGGCTGCGAGTAGGACTTTGGCAACGCCTGCATGACCATGCTGGGCAGCACAAGACAGAGGCGTTCGGTAACCACTTCTTACGTGATCGGGATTTGCACCTTTCAGCAAAAAGTTTTTCGTCATATCCTCTAGTCCCATATTAGCAGCCTCAACCATGGCGTCCGCAAAGTGGCGCTTCACCCTCTGGTTATATTCAACCAGCATCTCGACTATCGATTGATGGTTACGCCAGGCCGCACACACCAGGGGCGGACTATCCCATGACTCGACTCCAATCATCGGGTCCGCACCGTGGTCGAGCAGTAAGCGGGTAATTTCGTCGTCTCCAGCCCGGATAGCATTAATGAGGGCTGTCTCCAGTTGTCGGCGATGTATGTAGTTGACAGGTGCACCATTGCGGAGCAGCATCTTCATGATGTCGACCTGTTTGCTACGTGCAGCGGCACATAATGCCCTTCCAAGACTATCAACCTCGGCAGTATGTGGTAGGTCCTTCACATGGGAGATGAGGCATTCAGCCACAGCTAGTCTTCCAGTAGTCGTGGCTATCTCAAGGGGCGTGTGATCAAGCTTCGTGGGAAGAGTAGGATTTGCGCCTCTTTCGAGTAACGTTCGGACGACAGGCAAGTGCCCTTCATGGATAGCGATTATGAGCGGTGTTTCGCCATGAACGCCAACAGGATAATCTATGTCTGTTCCTAGATTCAAGAGGGCATGAACGATGTTTACATGACCATATTTTGCGGCTGTACAAATAGGGTGTGAATCTGTAGTGGTGATCCGTGTGTTTGCTGGAAGTTTCGCTCCAAAGGCGAGCAGCCTCAGGAGAGTTTGTAGCTGTCCTTTGCTAGCAGCCCAATGAAGAAGGACTTCGCCCATGTTCCGCACCGCGCATTGATATAGACATGGGTTGACCCAGCGATATAGGCACTGGCTGGTCTGAGCGAAGCAGTTGAGGTCAGTTTCGTTTTTCAGGTGCCCCGCGATGATTGGGACCAACTCAGGTGGGAGGTGAACGAGTGGCATCGCGGAAGGTTTAGTGTTTCGAGAAAGTCTCAGCAGGTTATCAAGAGGCCAGAAGACAAACTCGTAGAACGCGAACGAAGAGAGAATCCATATATGATACGAGAGTAGAGAATTGCATCCATGATGGCATCCGCAGCTCCCGGTGAGGCTGTTTCCCGATCGGGTCGAGAATTGAATTTACATGCAAACCTTGTTGCTCTGACTCTCCCTAATCGGCCAATAGATTTCGATCGCATGGCCTTGGACTTCGCCATTGAAGCAACCGTTTACAACAATCTTCTCCTCGCATGTACTGGCCCCTTCAAGGACACCAGACTTCACAGTGGCAGCAACCGTTTCATACAATTCATGTAGCGCCAGATTCCTCCCAATGCATGACCGCGATCCCAGACCGAAGGGAAAGAAACACAGCTCGCGCGTTGTGCAGTCAGTCTCATCAGCTAACCATCGCTCGGGACTGAACGCAAAAGGATCAGGAAACGCATCGGGGTCATGATGGAAGACGTATATCGAGGCCCCGACCGAGACCCTTCTTGGAAGATACACGCCATCAATGTGACATCCGCCGTCAGGCACAGCCCTGGTCAGAGGCGCAGGATTGGTCATAGCGAGTCGCAGGCCTTCAGTAATCACGCCTCGCAAATACGGAAGGCTTTGCAGGTCAGATGAGCTCGATTCTCCCAATTCTTGGTCAAGGCGCTCGCGGACATGCGCCTGGCGGACAAGGTGGAACAAGATGGTCGCCAGAGTCTGACCGGTTGAGCTGGTCCCAGCGAATAGTGACCCTTCACAGATACCAATGACCTCGTTTTCCGTTGCTCCAGCTGTACGGAGACGACCGTGGTAAGTGTGTGTCAAGGTAGCGGGTTCCGTCTTCTCCTTTCCCTCAACGATCGATCTTGCGAATTGATCGACCCGACGCATGGAAGCTCCCCAGTGACGATCCTGAATGGCGACATGGAGGGACAACATCCTCGAGAACAGCCAATTTGGGAACATGGAATAATACCCAAAAGCTGCGATAGCCTGCAGCCAGGCACTCTCCGAGAATTTCGTCGGTGGTGAGCGAGAATCCAGGTTGACGGCCTCGTTTAGCGCTCCGTACGACTTATCGAACATATAGCCTGTCATCACGTCCATCGAGAGTCGCAAGGCCAAATCGAGGATGTCGACACGGTATGATGCGGACTTCACAGCGCGATCTTTCTCACTGGCCAAGCGAGCGATGAATTGCTGGATATATTGCTGGACATTCTGTGCCCCTGCCGCTTCTCGTATCCTAACAGGCGCAAATAGTGGCAGGACAGCTTTAGCGCGCTTATCGCGGTAGGCTTTGTCAATAGCGGAAAATATGGTGGGCTGCCCGTTGACATCGAAATTACGATACCGAGCATTTTTCATGAAGCCCCCATTAGCCACGTAGATAGAAGCTAAGGCATGGGGGTCGGAGATGGAGACCTGATTCGGGGCGATGCGCAGTACTCGAGTGTCGTATCGGCGATGGTAATAAGCAAGGGTCTGTGGCTCAGTACCGAGGAAGACGATGATCCACTGGGGGATGGATGAGATACAAAAAATCCAAGGTCCAGGAACATGGGCTAGAGGATGGAGGGCGAGACGATAGATTGCCACCGTGATGAGGCCGACGCAGAGGAGGGTCGAGGCATCAGCTGCAAGAGTGTCACCGAGCAGCATCATGATAAGCACAACACTCCTACCGAAGCACTACCAGGCAATCGGCCGAGGCAGTTTTCGTGATGAGGGATTGACCAGTGTGCCATTTGCCATTTGATTCGTGTCTCAGAAAGCGTTGATCTGAGCGTTGCCGATCTGCGTCGCAAGAATGACGAGCGGTGAGGGGTTGCAGGGTGGGAAGTGACCTTCTCAACAACTCTCTTTCTCCCTTGCAACGTCTGCTCCATCGCCATGCATGAGACTGTAACTCTCGATCATCTCTAATTCTAAGAAAAGCGATGTTTATTTCCGAAGAATGAGAATGGCCATTGGAGTGGGAAATAATTAAGGTACCGCTCTGGTCCATGGTCCTGAGTTATATGAACCTCCCAAAAGTCGAGAGAGGCTAACAAGTGCAGTGGAAGCCACGCTTGCCAATCCCAACCCAGAACCTTGCTGCTATTAATGGCCAGGGCATCATATTTCATCATTGCAATAGCCTGAAAGGGGAGGGGGATGTCCATCAAACACGAACCAACCGATAAATGAGAACCTTTCCCCGCAGTCCGAGCGGACGATCGGCGACGATCCCCTAGCAAGAACCACGGGTCGGCCAGCGAAACCCCTGAGGCGCCTGCAAGTCGCTATCGAGATCCGAGGTTTCTCGTTTGTCTCAAAGACGGGCAGTTTCATATGCAACTGGCCGGACTGTAGTCGCCTGACAAGCACGATGCTACATAAGCAGATCGTAACCCACCGTCTCATTTGACACTCCACGACTGCATTCTACACTCAGTTTCATCCATCATGACTACCAACGGCATCCAACCCGGCCATGTCGGCAATCTGACTCAGGATCAAGAGGCCAAACTACAACAGCTCTGGTCCATTGTCCTTACTCTGCTAGACGTGAAGTCCCTCCAAGGTGGAGATACCTCGGCACAGACCCAGCCCGACCAGCGTCCAAGCACGTCGCTCTCCCGAGCCGACACCGTCGTCTCCGCTCATGGCCAAACGGCTTTCACAGAAGACTTGTCTCAAGTCCTCCGGGAGAATGGCATGAGCAACCCTGACATCAAGTCCGTCCGGGAGTCGCTGAGCAACACCTCGATCGACGAACTCCGCTCGGGTTTGTTGTACACTGCCAAACATGACTCCCCCGACGTCCTTCTGCTTCGCTTCCTGCGCGCTCGCAAGTGGGACGTCGGCAAGGCCTTTGGTATGATGTTGAGGGCGCTTGTCTGGCGCAAGGATCAGCATGTCGACGATAAGGTGATCGCGAACCCCGAACTCGCGGCACTAGTCACGTCTCAGAACACGGTGGATACGCACGCAGCCAAGGAGTGCAAGGACTTCTTGGACCAAATGCGTATGGGGAAGTGCTATATGCACGGGACCGATCGGGATGGCCGGCCTGTTCTCGTGGTGCGCGTTCGCTTCCATCAACCCTCGAAGCAGAGCGAGGCAGTGATCAATCGGTTCATCCTGCATACGATCGAGACAGCCCGATTATTGCTGGCGCCTCCCCAGGAGACAGTGGTATGTCTATCCAGCTTTTGATTCTACGACCTCCCATATATTGTACCAGGCTGATCATCCATGTGGCAGACCATCATCTTTGATATGACTGGCTTTGGCCTTTCCAACATGGTAAGTTGGTCTGCAATCCAAGGATATGTGCACGGGGAACTGACCATAACCAGGAATATGCCCCGGTGAAATTCATCATCGAATGTTTCCAAGAGAACTACCCGGAGTCGCTTGGATACATGCTTATCCACAATGCTCCCTGGGTCTTCTCTGGTATGTTTGCGCTTCTAGTCCTCTTACGCCGTCCTCTCTAACGCAAGATAGGAATCTGGAAGATCATCAAGGGGTGGATGGACCCGGTGATTGTGTCGAAAGTGAACTTTACCAACAAGGTGTCCGATTTGGAGAAGTTCATTGCCCCCGAGCAGATTGTGAAAGAGCTGAAGGGCAAGGAAGACTGGACCTATGAATACGTCGAGCCGGTGGCCGGTGAGAACGAGCTGATGGCGGATACGGAAACCCGCGACCGCATCTACGCCGAGCGGTTGAAGATTGGCGAGGAGTTGTTGCTGCGGACCTCGGAATGGGTCTCCACCAGCCAGCGAAAGGACGCGGCCGCTACTACAACGGCCCGAGAGCAACGAAGCGAGACGATCGAGTCGCTGCGTCAGAACTACTGGCAGCTGGATCCGTATGTGCGCGGGCGCACATTCCTGGACCGGACAGGAGTAGTCAAGCCGGGCGGCAAGATCGACTTCTATCCGAGCCCAGATCTGGTGCCCTCCACGGCTAAGATGTTGGAAGTGGAGCATTTTGAGCGAACTCAGGTGAAGGTAGTGGATTTGCAATGATGGTTGGGCGATCGGGATTTGGCTGTTTACTTTGTAGATTCATGGCGTCAGATTCGGGAGTAATGCTCTTATGGGATAGGGGGTTTATTGTAGTTATCTGAATTGAATTTGTCTTAACATATGTGCAATATCCAACCCATATAAGTGACATATTCATTCATCGAGAAGTAAATGGTCAGTATCTTCGTCAAGTCAATTGATGTTGTAAAGCAGAAGTCTCCCCCTTGGCGGCTTACCCCAATGGAGACTCCCGACCGCATAATCGCGATCCACGGGATTCGAGTTTCCCACGTGCTGAGTTACCACCCAATTCAATCTTATCCAAACTAATCACTGCTGCGACTAGGATGGATAGTCTTCTGTTGCTCTTCGACTCCAATGCTCTCTCATCTCTCCCATATAAACCATGCTCCTACAAGATTCGGGATATGCTCAGAGGCAATCATGGCTCAGCTGCAGCGCAATTTAGCCCCATGCCGCGGAATCCGCTCCCTTGATCCATCATCTTCTCCCTGGGCCGCCCCTTTCCCACTTCCCGGCAGGCTTTAGTTGGCGCCCACTATCGGCGCCACCACTAGCCTCGGGGTCTCGCGGACGATCGATCCGGACGTCACTGACACTGACCAGCACTATATTCTCTCAGTCTTACAGCCCAAAGCGCGACTGTAACCTAGTCTATCTTCCTCTCTTGCGGGTGCCTTGCGCACTGATGTCCAATAATCTGGCCTCTCGTTCCCCGCATTGGTTCCTGAAGATTCAGTTCACGCGCATCCCTCCTGGCATGATTGATGTGCCTAAATCTCTCCCCTGGCTATCACCTGCCTATAGCGGCCTAGTTGTCAGCACTTGCCGGGGTGATGCATCTGCTAAGTGGCTAGCGGGCTAGTATTGCTGCATCTCTGTACAAAGCCATGAGTTTAGACTCTACGGGTAGTGGCCCCAGCT